GTCAATCCCACGTCAAGGATGCGAATCATCACCTCGATGGGCACAGGGCGGTGATGTTGCACGGGGGCTGGCGTATCCCGGCGCCATGCGCGGGTGAGGACACGGGTGACTGGGTCGAAAGCAGAAAAGCCAAGGTGCCCAGACATATGGTGCACCATGGAGATGGCCGCGAGATACTGCGGCAAAGAACGAACGCCCACCTTGCCTTCCTCGCGTAGGAACCGAATGTAGCGGTAGATGGTGGCGCGACGAGCGGGCAGCGGCTGCAAGGCATGTGCCTCGCAAAAGGCCTGGAAACGAAGGAACTTGGCCTGCATAGTCCGCCGGGTGGCCTCCGTATAGGAGGCAAGGAACTGTTGTGCCATCCAGCTCCGATCGTCCGCCAGCAAGCCATCCACTTCGGTGCCGTACAACGGATGGTCCTCGGGGACCGGTTCCAAGGGGAACGGATCCGAAAGAGGCTCCCCGGCGGGAGGCGCCGGAGCCTCCGGTTCGCTCAGGGCGTCATCGTCGGTGGGATCCGCAGGGTCGTCGGGTGTGTCCTCGGCGCCACATGGAAGGCACGCAAATTCCAGCGCGGAGGTGGAAGGGAGGACGGGAGGCTCGGATCCCCGGGGAGAAAGAGGTTGGGCTGGCGGGGAATGAAGATCTCGGCCTGCGCCATTGCCCGGAGGCGGGGAAACCAAACCGCGTTTGGCCAGTCCGGCGCGAGCACCACTGCATCCAGTTGCGGCCTCGAGGCGAGGAAGGCGACAAGCCTCGCGAGGAGGCTCCATGGGGGATTGCACCAACTGCGCGTCCCCGTCCAGTTCTGTGCGAAGGCGTCGACGCCCGACGTACCCACATCCCAATGTTGACTGTTGTAGGCCGCGCAGAGGGCATTCCGAGCGGACACAAATCGGTCCACTGAACAGGCCCCGAAGCGGTGGACGACCTCCTAGAATATGCGCGGATTGAGCCGGTAGTCCTCCGAAGTCCGTATACGCGAAAGCCTGTCCGGAAGGACATTATCCGCTGACCGAATGTACTCGGGCTCCAGGAGCAACTTCCGCGTCGCACAAATAGCTTGCAACTGGCGAAGGGGCCTCAAGAGACCGGCTGATTTGGTAGTCATCGAGTTGAGGCAGTGGATAACCACCTGGTTGTCCACGAGCAACCGAAGCCGGCGAGAAGCGGTCCTGGGGCACCGGCGAGGAAAGAAAGACAGCAGGGCCAAGTATACGGCCTGCATTTCACGGACATTGATGTGAATGAGCTCCCGATCAAAGAATCCGCGAGCAAGAAGGGGTTGATCACCGCCCAGAGGCGTAAAAGTGGCCCCCCAGCCGGTGAGGCTGGCATCCGTAGCCAAGGTGCCCACCAGCTCCAAGGAGGCGGAATTGAGCGACCTGCCTGCCAACTGACCGATCTGGGCCCAGGCGGCCAATTCCAAACGAGCCGCGGCAGTCAAACAGAGCCGATCTCGCCAAGAACGCTTGCCGCACAAAAGAGAGTAGAGATCCGTCAAAAAAAACCGTGCCAATGGAAAAGCCAAGTACAAGGAAATGGCAGAGCCACAGAACTTGGCCAGATCCCGAGCAACAATGAAACCCCGTTGACTAATCTCCTGGGCCCGCCGCGAAATGGCCGCAACCTTGTCCGGAGGGACCTGAAATTGGCACTGATTGGTGTCGATCATGATCCCCAGATGCTTCTTGCATTGGACCGGCTCCCATTGACACTTGGACTCCTTAAAAGCGAGGCCAAGAGTGGCGAAAACCCGGCGGACCAAACTGGACCATTGGGTGAGCCGCTGAGGATCCGACATGGCAGCAATGAAATCATCCAAATAGGCCAAAATCAGCGCGGGAAGCTCCCGCGAGTACCGGAGATAGTACTGGAGAATGGAATCCTCCCCCGCTATTCGACCAAAACGAAAACGAGTGGCAGCTTTGGGACAAGAGCTGGGGGTCCTTAAGAAACGGACCACTACCAACATGAGTTGCGTGAAATAAAAGGGGGAGAGGGCCAAGCCAAAGGGGAGCGCCCGGCAAGCAAATGTCTCCCCACCCATGCGAAATTGAAGAAAATGCTCTTGATCCGCTCTCATCCGAATATGATGATAAGCGTTTTTGATGTCGAATCCCACTAAGTAATCATGCTTCTTCAACAGAAATCCAAAATCGCGCAGTTTTTCATAACGAAGACCAACCTTCTTGAGATGGCGATTGATTCGCCGAAGGTCGATGATGAGCCGGTATTTGGTCTTGCCATTCTCCGCCGGCTTGGCCACCAAGAAAGCGCGCGAAATCCGGGCGTCGGAAGAGGGGTTGGTCCGGACGATCGCCCCCGTCTCGAGGTATTCGCCCCGCAGTTCCCGCCATGCTCGCCATTCCTCCGGGGTCGTCAAGGTGTATTCGCCCTGATCGAAGGGGGCCGGAGGGCCCATTGGGCCCCATTGAAGGGGGGCTCCGGTGTGGATCCATTGCAAGACTCGCGAAGGCGCCCCGATGCGGCGCCACCCAGAGAGACGGCCCCGAAGACGAGCGTACGGAGGGTCCTCTAGGCGGCGGGTTTGGGGGGCTGGGCCGGAGCGTTGGGGCCCGCCTGTGGCTTGGAACTCTTGCCCTTGAAGTGGCGAGCGTTGGAGGTGGACGCGCCCGCAGGATTGGGAGCCGGAGCGGCGCGATCGAGGTTGGCCTGATTCTTGGCAGCAACCGACTTGGTCGCCAGCTTCAACTGCTGATTGAGGACCTCCTTGCGTATGTGCTCCAGCGGCTCGTCGATCAAAGGATCCCAGAAGCGGCGATGAACGGCGCCCAGCCGAACGTTGGTCTGGAGCGCGCGCCACAACCCGTCGAGGGACGTTCCCTTGTGCTCCCTGTGCACTTGTTGGAGACGGATTAGGCTCTGCAATCTTGTCGTAATCGTCACCTGGGCGTGGAGGTACGGCAAGAGGGCGTCCCGAAAGATGGGCGGGAATTCCTGGTGCACCGCGAAGTCGATCAAGGTGGCCGTGAGGTCGAAGAGCCACGCGACGTAGGGCGCCCAGTTCTGGTACTCCTGGAAGTAGCCGGAGTTGGTCCCCAGCGCCTGCGCGAGCTGCGCGCCTTCAGAAGTCCGCCTCATGTCGAACCACTCGGGAAAACGGACCCCCGGAGGTCGGACCACCGGGTTGGTGACTGACCGCGGAAGGAGGCGGGGGTCCGGTAGCCAGACGGCGTCGAGAGAAGCCGTAGGCGGACCGTCGTTGAACCGGACGGCTTGTTCTTGAAGCCACTGCTCCGCAGGTGTCCGGTTCATAGAAAGAACTCGGCCAAGACGGCCGGGGAGGGCAAGGCACTCGGTGCCTTCGGGTTGTGCCAACAAGTGGCGCGAAGTGAAACAAGATAGGAGGGGGACCGAGGGGGGAGCCTAAATAGCCGCCCCCGCTCAGCCCCGCCAAAGCCCGCCAAGTCCAAGCCGCCAAAACGGGCGGACCCTTGGACACTCCGTACTTTGACTGACCCAAGTTACTAGGAAGGGCCAGAGACCCGTTTGAATACGATTGCGCCTGATTCGAAACTCGGCGCAACCCACCCAACGTCGTCCTGGGTGGAAATCTATTAACAAGATAGTTAATGTCATTGCTCCTAGTTCTTGATGCAAGGCCGTTTGGCAAATGCCCCTGGTCCATTTGGGTCGATCGTTAGACATTCGCGTGGTGTTTGGTCAGTCAGTGCGCAGACGGGTGGGCAGGCGGGTGTCTGGCATCTTGTGTGGGCTCCATGGGTCATGGTGCTTCTTACGTGCTTCCTGCTCAGTGGGTGAATAGTCGGGCAGGATTACGTTGTAGTTGTCCACGCGTTAGCATACGTTCGGGCTCTGACGGTCTCCTGTGGGTTCCATGTGGCCTCTTGAAGGGTATACCTTCAGTTTATTTGCAACCTGTCGACCAAGGCCATGCTGGCCTAGAATCCTGGACACCAGGGGGGCACCAGCTTGGTAGTATTCACGTATAGATTCATGTGGCATGACAGCCATCTATTCATGTAGATTGGCTCCATTTATTGGTGCCCCGAGCACTTTTTCAAGGCTTCAGGTGTGTGGGGCATTTGGTACCAATCACAACTTCCGCGACCCTCCAAGGCTATCATATTTGGTAGTAGGCATCACAAACCTCGTTTGTCGATGCCTGCGCCTGCCACTAGTGACACAACTTGTGCCACTGGAGATTTCAGCCCTCCCGCTGTCGCTCCCCTGTGTTTTCCCTTTGGCATCTAAACCACCACCTGGCATTTTGCCCATTCCCCAGATACCCATTTTGTGCGCTCAGATCTCTTGCCCCATTAGTAGCCAGACTGTTGTTGCAACAATAGGCTTGACCTGTCAAGCAATACGTCTCAGTTGATCCACACTGGCCAGATCGTAGGTTGCTTTTTTGTTTTCCTTTCTCTTCTTTTCTCGTGAGATGATTGGTTGGGCGAGCGCCCTAGCACACGGGACATTTTGCACGAGTACCCAGACGTGAGGCGAGGCGTGACATTACCACGTTGCAGGTGCGCGCTGGGGAAGGCCCTTGTCCTAGTCTTCTCTCGTAAGGGTGCACTCACATTCACATTCCACACTGGCCGGGTTGTTGAGCACAGAAATGCCCATCTTCACAATTGCAAGGCACGTGCCTCGTGCCAAATAACCATCATACAACATCAACTGACTGTCTCGGCTACTGTCTGTTTGCTCACCACCATGGCGGAAGGCCATGCCAGCGACAGATGGGACGGTGCTCCAACACCTTAGTCGATCCCCAATCGCACACCCACACAGGTACCGACTGGAAACCCTGCCACCAACGATACCGCAGCCCGGAGCCTCTCTGGAGCACACAACGCCATGCGCCGGCCACCACCCTCCCCTGATCAGCAGTGCATGCTCCCCCCAGACTGCGCGCGCCCCGCCCCGCCCCCTCTGCGCCCCAATTAAGAATGTGTGTGTGTGCGTTCATGGCTCGTTCGATTTTCTTCTCCGCAGTCGGCGAAGCCTCAGGCAAGGGCAGCCGCGGGGGCTTCCTGCTTGGACAACTGCTCAGGTTCCCCTATGGACAGGAAGCCAGCAGCTAGGCAGTCTGCCATGAGGTCGAAGTCCTCGTTATCGAACTGTGGCGGCAGCCGCACGTCCACGGCAAACCTGATGATGTGGTCCGTCTGGGCCATCACAGGCAGGTCGCCGAGGAACTCCCATGTGCGGTAGTTGCGGGCGTTGTCGTGGGCGCCGAACACGGACACCGGCACGCCCCGCGCCTTGACGTTGGCGAGGTACGCCTGGCACTGCTCCCAGCTGTAGCCGATCAGGTTGAACTGGAGGGAGTCGTTGCAGGGCCCAACCTTGGGGTGCTGGGCGGGGACCTCCATGGAGGCGCCGACCCGCTGGGCTGCGACCTCGAAACGGGCGGTCACCTGGGTGGCAGGAGACATTACCAGTGTTACTGCCTCAGTGTTAGCAGCAAGGTAATAAACTTGTTGATTTTGGCAGTGATAGGGCAATTTGCTCGTGCAGTTTTGTCCATGCTGCTATCAACACAGTGCATCATGCAATTGACATTGTTCTGCTATAGTTGTATGCTAATCCCTGATTTTACAGGCTGCACAAAAGCAGTCATGGGTCAATTCGCCGTCGATCAGCTCCCGTTGTACGAGTGGCCATTGCCTGATGGTTCAAGCAATCTGGCTCAAAAGATGTGCAAGCAGAAGAGTGCAGCCTCCGGCTCCAGCATGTCTGGGAAACGGCAATCTACAGGCACTTACCAGATCTGCAAGAAGCATGAACTGCTGTGTAATACATCTCAACATGACACACACTTGCAGTGGCAGCACAATGCACACAACACATGACAGCAAGACAGCCATGTACTTAAGAAAGAGAAGCCGTGTGTACATGCCAAACTCCTGCCACAACATACCCGGTCGTATCTCCTGTTGCAAAGTGCCACTCTATCGCCCACGACAGCGATCTGCGGAATCAAGACAGCTGCGTGCAGGTTGCTCATTCGCATGCTGTAGTTGGGGATCTTCAGTTTGCCGATGCTCTCAAAGACCTCATCGGGTGGAGTGGCAATGTGCTTCTTGTACAGCTTCTCATAGCCACCAGCACCAACGATGGCCTTTGCGGCAATAACCTGCGCATCCGACCCAACAAAATATGGCTAAGAACTCTCAGGAATACTCCAGGATGCAGTATTGGGTCGATGCAAAGTTCGCAACAGAAGCGATGGCATGCAAGGCGGTGCAAAAACTATGCAGGCATCTGCCAAGAAATTGTTCACAAATAATCCAGTTTCAAATTCGTGTGTTAGTGTGGGATTCACAAGACACCAATTGTAGGGTACTGCCAAACTCAGAGCGCTACTCGTGCTTGCCACTGCAATTCTGTGCTGTGCCCTATCCATAGTGGACAAGGCCAAAGCTGTTGAAGGTTACCGCGGAGATGACTGAGAGCCTTTCACCAATGAAAACAGCACAAGCTTGATTAACATAAGCGGAGACAGCCTCACAGCCTCAAGCTCACCGGGTCGTTGGTGAGCATGAAGCCACCCTCCCCAGAGTTGAGCATCTTATATGCCTGTGTGCTGATGCAGCATGCCACCCCATGGTGCCCAGAGTGCTTGCCGTCCCAGAACACGCCCAGCGAGTGGGCACAGTCCTCCAGCAGAGTCACATTGTACTTATCACAGATGCGCGCCACCTCATCCATGTCAGCGAGCTTGCCTCGCATGTGGGAGATCAGCAGGAAGCGCACGTCCGGGCACTCTTGACATTTTTTCTCCAGGTGCTCTGTGTCGAGCACATAGGCATTGGTGGACTCTACGAATTCTACACTGGCACCAGCGTGATGGATTGCGCTGGGCACAGCCCCAAATGTCAGGGCGTTGGAAAAGACCTGCAGGAAAGCAACTGCCAACGTTAGGAATGAATGTCTGCAATGAAGGCCTACATGGAAATGCCAAGTTCTTTTGGCGGCAGAAATTTGCTGCCAAGAAGGGATGCACAGCAAACTGTTCTGGAGCAACAGTACATCACATCTGCCAGTGCAGCCAATGTCAAATAACCCTGTTCACTATTTCAAGCAAGGAATGAACTGACAAAACAACAAAATATCGGCAGCAGATTCTCTAGCTTTCACAAAACGGGCAGTCCACATCACCCCTCACACACAGAAAAATCTCTGCGCCCGCGACCACCACCAGATGCCTCACCACCACAGGTACCTCACCATCACACCCCAACCCTGCCAGTACACCCATCCTGTGCAGGAAATGGACAAAAAACATATGTACACCCGGCCTTGATAACATGCCACGGCGCCTGCGCCCTGGGTATGTCATCACCTTGTCCCCAGGCTTGACGCCCGCGGACACGAGCGACAGGAAGATCGCCGATGCGCCCGAGTTCACGGCCAGGCAGTACTTGTGCCCGGTGTACTCGGAGAGCGCGACCTCGGCCCGCGACGCGGCGGAGTTTGCGTCGTTCCGGTTGTAGCGGAACAGGTCGCCGGACGCCATGAGGCCCAGGGCGTCGGCGATGCCGGACTCCGGCACCGTCCAGGGCGCGCAGAAGTCCTTCGTGAGGACGGGGTTGAACTTGGTGGGGTCCGCAAGGGCCGCCCCATTGCCGTTGCCGTTCTGCGTGTAGGCCTGCACCTGGGCGCGGCGCCACAGAAGGGTCGTGGTTCAGTCGACGAGGGGACAGCATCGATGCATCTTAGGGCACGGCGATCGGTGCCGCAAAGGGAGTGGTGGTTCAGTCGATAGGGGGGCCGCACCGATAAAGGCTAGGACACAGGGGTCGGCGCCAAAGTCGAAAGGGGGTGCCATCCACCAACGGGGCGACGCAGGGCGTGGCCATCCAGCCGACGGGCGCGAATCAATCCGGAAGGGCGGCGAAACGCGTGGAGTGGTACACTGCTCTGTTCTGGGAATGGGCTTTCACCGAGGAGTCACAGCGCACCGGGAAGGCGAAATCGGCAGAGCGAATCCGCGTGGGTCCGCGAGAATGCCCGCCCAGACCAAGCAGACGACCAGTGCAGGCGGCGACGCACGAACCACGGGCTCACAGGTTCGAAAACACGAGCAATAGTGGGGGGTCAACTTGCGCCGAAATCAAACCCGGTCCCCTCGTCCCCATGGTCTACACGTACGTCTACAAATTGTCGTGTGTGACATATCCCGTAGAAAGCATCGAGGGGGGAAGGCGCACCTTCAGACCGCACGGCTGCCTTTGGCAGCGGCCCCGAATTTTGGCCAACCTCGGGCGGGCTGGGAGGACGGTCCCGGGCAGGGGCAGGTTGGCAGTGCCGTTGAGCGCCATCCTCGCGAGTGGGGTAGGCGGTGAAGACGGTGAAGGCGGAAAGGCGGAATGTGGAGGCGGATGGAATCTGCATCAGAGGCGTGATGTGTTGCTCAAGCCCAGTTCGGGGGGGCCAAGGTTACTTCAGTTCGACAACAAGCCAGGGTGCCAATGCCTGGAGTGCCCCGTCCCAAGCCAAAAGTTCTTTAGGCATGTGAAAGCGCACCTTTATGCAGCAAACCCTACCCCTACACTCACAAACACAGGCACAAGAAGCCAAAAGTTCTTTAGGCATGTGAAACCGCACCTTTATGCAGCAAACCCTACCCCTACACTCACAAACACAGGCACAAGAACAAGCAAGCGGTCGCACAGCGACCGTCACCCGTTGCCGTTACACATGCACCGACCCCCCGAAAGAGAAGCGCGCGGAGAACTTACCTCCATCCCTGCAAGCACACACGCCTCTCCAATGCTTGTCAGCATGGTTCTTTTATCGAAGGTGCACCCCAGCAATGGACACAACAGCGGCCCCGTGGGACGCTATAATACAGCGAGGGGGGACATAGTACTTTAGGAGAGGGGCGTCCGAGAAGGACAGTGTGGGAGTGTGCAGGGGTGTCTCAAGTTCACCACTCAACGCACACAACCATCCTGTGATCACAGTGACAGCCGGTGAGAAATTTCGAGGAAAGAGAGCGCGTCGGGTGTGGAAAAGACAAACTCCGCGCATTGCAACGCTTCGTTACTGCGCGATCCTTCACTGAGTATGTTCCTCGCATTTCGACAGGTTAGCAGCAAGATCTGAGCACGCAGCATTACCAGGTGCTAGTTGTAAGAGCACATGCAGTCGACACATAAAGCTGCAGGCGAGGTAAAGTTGCAACACAACATGGAACGAAGATGCTGTCCGTGCAACACAAAGAACAGGATACAAATCCACTCGCAAGATGGCAAGCATGGCAAGCACTGGCGACCTGACCAACTGTGAAACGGCAGCACATGGAACTGGCAAGATGAATTGATGCAAAGCCAGCAGAAGCAACCACATGGCAGGGCACAGCACTCCAGGCACATCACACATTTCAGGGCACATCAGGCAGCGAAAAACACAGGCCCACTGACAAGCGAAAACCCAGGTGAACACGGCACACAAGGTGACACAAAACCAGCAGGCAGGGGTGCGGGGATCACATGGCAGTGGCACAGGCGCCTGTACTGTCCCCGCTCCCGACAAGCGAGTATTGCCAAACCTCCAACAGCACCCACAGGTACAAAACACACCCAAGAGGTACACCGGCGGTTTCCGCGCCCCCAAGCCGCGATGCAAATGACGTGATCCCGCAACAGAGCACCCTGAGCGTCCGACGGTCCAAATGCGAACATCAACGGCTCTCGTCAACCGATACCGCCTCCAATATCGTATCGGTGCGGAGCAGTCCGCACCGGTCCCCCTCAAATGCGCGCCAGGGGGCCCATGACTGGCGGGGCGGGGTGCCCGGAAAAGGGGTCCGGTATCTCCAAAAATCTCGGGGCCGTCAGCAACCGGCGCCGCCGCTGGCGGCGGCGCCTGTCCAGTCCCAGGGGGGCCCACTGGGGCCGGGGACAGAAACTCCAGCGCCGGCCGACCAGCGGGGCCGACGGAGTTCTAACACGGCAGCATCGCTCGAGGGGGGCCATGCGGGGGGCAGGGGGGCATCGCGGGGCATCCCGGCCGATGGCGGCGGCGCTCGCTGCCGAAACCCCAAAATCGGGACGGGATCTGCGGGGCTTTGGACGGGGGGCGGGCAAGATCGGTGCACAGTGGCCATGACCGCGCCGGAAGGGCCTACAAGCGGGCGTGCCGCGGCTGGGGGGAAAATCATCGGATCCGGCGCTGTGTTAGTAAGGCCAGGGAAGGGCGGCGGAAACGCGCAATTGCAAGCACCGTGGGAAGCGAATCTGAGAATTTTGGCCGCGGCGCCGCGGCGAGGGCTATGCGCCGGCGGGCGGAGTTTTGGGAAGCGGGGGAGCAGATAGCGGCTCTGACGGCCGCGGGGATCTGGGCGAGTGAGAGAAACACGGAGGGTGTGCGGCGGGCACGTGGTGGGGCGTAGGGAGGGTTGGCTGCGCGATGCGGGGGTCCGAGGGGGCAGATCATCGCTGCGGGGCGGCGTGGGGCGGGCTGGGTGCCAGCGCGGGCACGAGGGCGGCCGCCGGCGGCCGGCCGAGGTGTCCAACCCCAGGCCAGCGGAAATCGGGGAGGCAACAATTGGGCCCCCGCGGCGCGGAGAAGGTTTGCTAGGGTGGCAGGGATTTAGATCGGAGCGCGGAGCGCCGGTCGGTGGCGGTTGAAAGTGCGGAGAATCGCGAGGGGCGCGGTGGGCGAGGGGCCAATGCACGGCGGCCAGAATCTGGTCTCGAGCGGATTCCCTCAAGGCGCAGAGGAACGAGGCGCGGAAGCGACTTCAGTTTATTCAGCGACGAGAAGGCCGCCAGAGGCGCTTCAGGGCCGCCCTCGGGCGCGATATTCATGGCGCAGATCCGGCAGTTGTACTCAGCGACTTCCCCGGAAAGGACCCGGAATCGGAGTTCGCAGGGCCACGGCGGAACGCCTACGCGCGTGGCACGGGCACGGATGGCCGCCCGCGCGCCTCCGCGGTCTCTCGCGCGGTCCCTTGGCCCCTTTCCCCTCCCCTTGCTCCCGGCCTGCTCACCTGTCGACAGGGACGTCCCAACGCCGCGGTGAGAGTGGTGGCGGTGGGCGCCAGTTGTCGATTTTTATGGGGGCCTGCGGCCGCCTGATCCGGGAAGTTGATGTGCCCCGTCAGCCCGTACCCCGGTGTGTCAAGACCGCCACGGTGGCGCCCGGTCCAAGAAGCACACGGCCACCACCACACTTTGGCCGGACGCCGGGGGCCCCACCGCCGTCCGACGGGGATGAAGGTTGGCCATTCTTGTGCCATTGGTTGGGGCAACGACATTGACGCAGGGCACTTGGTATTGGGGGGGGGGGGAGACCCGACAGACCTGACCCCCAAGTTGGGCCCTTTGTGCACTCCCGCCCACGAGGCCCTTCATCGATGAAGGCATACGATATCGTTGCTGCCCCCCTCGATCCTGCCTCTGCCTGTATCATCTTCATCATCTTCATCGCCTTCATCACCTTCGTCTCCACCACCTTCATCACCCTTATCACCACGTGATGTGCTCTCTTCGTCGTCTGAGGTCCTCATTGCGTTCACAGCCACAGCAAGCGCGGCAATTTGGCAGCCCCGTGCGGCAACCTGCATGGGAGAGCTTGAAGTTGCTTGAGATACAGTGGGAGTCCCTGAACAGCACCTGGACCCCAAAAGCGCTCAATGTTCTTCGACTTCGCGTGCCTCTTGAAGCGCATTGTACTGCTCGGTCGTGCAATGGGAGCTCACGTTTCACCGAGGGAAAGAATGCAGGTGGCAGCTCCACGTCCACTGAAAATAACGCCAGCGCGTCCTAACAAAGTCATCACAACTCGCGGCAACGATTACCCGCAGAAAGTCCCAATTCCGGCGTTTTCCTAGCATTAATCCACCCATTTGATCTTGTAAGCGCGGCAATGGCTGATACTGTGGCCTACCCAGTACTACATGTGCTGCCGCTCTGTAATTTCGATGTTGTGCATTGAACTACCACCCATGACAGCGACTGCTGCCCACACTTAAGTTCGGTTGATCCCAGTGAAATCACGCTCATAGAACTGGTCTCAAATCTGGTTGTTTTCGCTGCAGTTGTCACCATGTCTTTCAAAACCGGCGCTGTGCATGCTTTGCTCAAAGAGCACGTTACGCAATCAACATCCCACACGTTCGATCCAGAGTTCGATATTTCCACATAACGGATATGAATATACTTCGAATGTGGCAAATTGTGGACTGTGGTTTGACGACTGTCGCCATCACCACCAGTTGGTCAACGTGAGTTCTGCAGGCAGAATTGTCAAAAAGTGATGGACAACAAAGAACAGCCACCACAAAGGACACATTGGGCGCAGAAAGGCTCAATCAGTGTTGCTAAATGCCCCAATATCGGACAAGCCTGCTCACCAGTTGGGCAATAGTTTCTTTCAGTGCGCCCATTGGGTGTGTTGAAATGGGATCTGATGCCGAGTTTGGGTGGTTTGTGCCGGTAGTTCTGTGATTGCCCGTGACCAGAAGATGCACCTGCAGCCAGCGTGGGTGCCATACCGTCTTGCCAAATTCTGTTTGGCAAACGGTGTGATGAGTCTTCACTGACGAGGAGGACATTCTTTTCCCTATGGAAGAGTGCAGCCCGTCGGTTCCTTCAGGCGAAGGTTACAATTTCCTTAACGTCAATATTCAATATTTCAATTTGATTGATCTTCATCTCCTTCATTCCCTTATCTTCACCGACACTTTGCTTGGTGATGACATCAAAGCATTTCGGAATGTATTTGAATTGCCCTCAATACTTAGAACCTAGGTATGCGAAGTGCAAGGAGCCCCCGGGAGCCCAATTGGGCTCATTTGCAAGTGTATGAAGAGCAACGGGCACCTGGGGAACTGACCCATGGGATCGGGTTGGTGTACCTCTTGCTCGCCAATGGGGACAAACAAACCACTTGCTGCTGGCGGCACCCTTGGATCAGCACCACTGGCACAAAGCACCATAATTGTGATGCCAACTGCGATGCCATTTTCACACTAAGCGGCGCCTCCACAGTGATTGTGATGGCAGAAAGTAGTGTCAAATGGCATCGCAGTTGGCATCGCAATAATTCCGTTTTCTGCTGGTGCACACTCTTGTTCTACAGGCAGAAGGGGTGCGTTGGGAATTCCTCTGAAAGATGTACTAACGATGGACTTTTTCTGTCTGAAACTGCAGTTGATATTAGCGCTTTTGGGGTAGGCAAACTCATCCAAACGATTGTGTTATGAGCAAAAAAACACTGCATCACTCATTGGACGCCACTTCTGTGACTGGGGCGAGACTCAGGGTCTCCTTAGGGATTCGGTGGGAGGTGTTTTTCGAGTTAGGTTCTCGAAACCAACGTCACGGTTGTAGTGGAGGGGTAGGTGTCTCCAACGAGCTTTGCACCGATGAGCTAGAAGTGGTTCCCCAAAAGCTGAAAGCCGTTGCCCAGCTGGCCAAGCACCAATATTTCGAGGATGCCGAGTGCCGCAGACAACAACGGGATCACTTGCAATCTTGTTGACGTGGTTGCTGGCAGTGCTTGCCTCCATACTCGCAGTCCCGTGGCCAATACTGGTCGGCCTTGACCCCAAGTTGGGGGCGAATATATATCCCAAAAATCCTCGCAAGTTGGTGGAGCTCAGCCTAGGGCTGGTGATTGGTCAGATCTCAACTGCAATCAGATGTTAAAAATTCGCCCTCACACTCATGAGAGCACAAGCATACACAGCCACCTTCAGCACTTTGCAATCCGATGTGCTGCCCACAGCGGCTGGTAGTGTTGCCAGTACTATGGCGGTTCAATTCTACTGCGGTAGGATTTCTGGCAACGACTCTGGTAGATGCTCATGTCTGCAGAATACTGCCACCAAGAATGGCGGCCAATCTGTTGTCCAGAACATTGCCACTTCCCAGCATCGCTCGGAAGAGCCTCTGCACAAAAGCATGGGATTTTATTCGTCCCAGTCTAGCAACTCGAAACAGCCTTCAGGTTGGCACTATAGTTTGAATCCCCGTTTCAGTAGCCAAATCGAACTCAAACTCTGCGTTCAGTGGCTCCCAACGCCACCTCCCACACTACAGGCCCAAACTCCTCCCACACTTATAGCACAGGGATGACCCGGGATCACGACAAAAAGACGCCATTTCTGTTATAACTATAGAGAACCCTCCTTCCACACATTGCAGATCGATCATCCTCCAGAATGACCAAACAAACCCTAATCTGGGTTGTGCAGAAATAGGGTGGGCATAGCTAGGATTCACACACACGTTGCAAAAGCAACACTCACTCATCTGCGGCCACGAGCGAATGCGGAACGTAAAGCGCTCCTGGATAACTACACGCCCGTCATCGCCCACAAGGTGCAAAAATATTTCTTTGTCTTGTGAAGGCAACTTTAAAAGGTAACAGCTCGCCTCCGGCGGAGTCATAATAGCTGGTGGGCGGAATGGATGCGTCAGGCAACAGCGAGCGTTTGCAGAGCACAGGCGCACAGCCACGGCCCACAGCCGCGGTCATGGTCATGGCCATAATCATGGTGGTGATCGTGATGCGACCTGCGCGACAAATCCAGCGGCTTGTCACATCGCGTCTGGGTACACTTGTCGCTGCAAGGCCAGGAACGCCTCCTCGTTGTCGCCATCCGCGTCGAAGGCCACGTAGCTACTGTCCTTGTCGTACAGATGGACTTGCGTGAGTAAGTTCCGCATCATCCTCCAATTCAACCGGCCCTCCGTCATGTACTGAGCAAGCACAACGCACGAACGTTAATGTTACTGCAACGAAATTGCGCGTCAGCGACAAATGCCGTTCAATTATAGCTCGTGATTTGGCGAGTGGATGCCATGATGAGCGCCAGAGATGGCGTGAAGATGTCACTAGCAAAAAAAGGACCAAATAGCACTTTTGCGAAAACATGATATGCATTTCATCAGTGTCTAGAACGCTGAAAACACGGAAATAGCCTAAATTCGTAAACTTTGTGGACACGTGTTACTTGTCCTTTTTGCCCTAGTGCATGGAGTGGAAACATGGAGTGGAAACGAGCGTTCCAAAAAGAAATCGAAACTCGGAGTTTGGTTTCACGAACAATATTCAATATGTACCACCAACGAAAACGACGACAAACTTAAGCGTCATGCATGACGCTTAAATGACGTAAGCACATGCTTACACGGTTTGTCCCGCTTTACGGTGGTTTGGCTAATTGAACCCAACTTTCAGCAACTCAAAACTGCTTTGGCAACTTGGAAGCGGGGATCAATGGGCAAGCTTTTGCCAGCGACCGTTCTTCCGGGGTTGGTGGCGCACCTGGCCCCAATTCTGCCTCAGAGACTCCGTGGCAGCTCGCAGATTGTAGAATGGGATTCGCGAAGACAGATGGTGGGGTATGTGGACGTTTATGTCATGAGTCAGGGCCTCCACCCTGCGCGATAACACATGCAAGATCAAGCCGGCGTCAGATGGCTGGCTCGACGTTCGAGCCGATTGTGTGACCCTGCCATCAGATATAGACGATATGCCGTCGTTGATGCAATCATCGCCGGCGCACACAGCTGATGTCACATTTCGCGGCGCCCTGCTGCTGTTTGCGGAGCGGTGCGCTGTGCGCTCACTCTTGACCACAGACACTAACGCATTATCTCAATAGTCGCCAGCATGCCATTCTACTCAGTTGGGGCATATTTTCCTGTCTGGTAAAAGAACTTTCCGCAGCCCAGATTGAGTCCGCCACAGCAGCGTCTGTTGCCTCCAGCGCGGGCGCAGAAAGCTGCCAATCGCGCACTGGTGCGAAATGCCTTGCGCTGTTTTTGATTGTGTGTCAACAGTGATAAACTGCTGAAATTGCATGAGCATTTCAAATTCTTGTTTAATTCGCATTAACGACGTATTACCGACACTTTTTTTGACCGACATGTGCCAATTTGTGAATAACGCTAAAGTATTTTGCCGCCTTCAAATACCTATAAACCATCGGTAAGCTTGCACTCTAACATTGCCATGCCATGGGGTTGGCTATTAGTTTGCAGCCACTATAAAACACCACTTGACAAGTGAAATCTTGGTCCGTTCCCTATATGCCAAGAATGAGGCATAAGTTAGACGCTGTGCACGGAAATTGACGATGGGCGTCCATCACTTGCCATCGCGGGTACTCGCAATTCACGGTGCCTCCCAGCTTTGCCCTGGCCGCGTGGTAGTCCTCCTCTTCCGTGAAGGGGATGTGGGGCGCCGTGTGGTGCACCATCGTGATTGTGCTCATCCAGAAGTGGTATCCCAGCCACGGCATGAGCCAAAAATCCAGGAAGCCCTGTATGCCGTGGTTGGCGATGAGCCAAGGCCACAGGGTCCCGGCAAATGCAGCCACAAGCGCCCAGCTCAAGTACACCTTCAAGATAGGCATTGCAAACAGAAATAAACAGCATATTCGCTTCTTCCATGTACGGAAAAGCAGCTGCGCACTGAACTAAAGTAGTCTTTGCCTATATAAAGTCTCCCTCTTGCCCAATGAGCCGCTGTGCTGGAGAGGTGAAATGAGCAAACATGATGTGACAACTACCAGGAATATATGTGCAAACGATATACATGAAATTGAAGCACACATGTAATATGAACTCACCGAAAATTGAGACACAAATCTGCAGGGCGTACCAGGTGTTTGCTTTGGTACTTTGGAAATTTTTCGAAACTGAAATGCCAGTTGATCCAGTGGTACACCGACAGCCACAACTTGAGCGGCGTTCCCAGCACCGCCCTCAATCCCACGCGCAAGGCAGGCCCCGCATCTCTGGCAGCCTCCTTCATGATCGGCTGCCACCCTGTGTCTTTGCTCAGCCTATCACGCAGGAACCGCATGTCAGAAACGGACCCAGAGCCAAAAGTGTTGTAGCACGAGACGGTTCCAATATAGCTGTTGTTGCTGTTGTTCCAGTCGGCGATAAGCCCGGCGTTGCACACAGATGCAACGTCAAACCAATGGGTACATTGCATCAGTTTTTTTTTTGGCCGTAAAAACTGATCGCATTACGTTTTTACGCGTAATAACAGTTTCGACGCGTAAAAAAACAGTCTTTATACGTAAAAACTGTTTTTACGTTTTTACGCATAACAATGCGTAAAAATACGTAAATACGACGTAAAAACTTCCCGTGTACATAAGGACAGTGCATACAGACATACAGAGTCCGGAGAGTGGCAGCCAGACGACATGAAAGGGGCAGAAAATGAGTTTTTGTTAAGCACCGTCATCGCCCTCGCCAAGGGGGAGGTGGACACTGTGTTGCGGGTGCTGGATATGGCGGAGGACTGATCATTGTACGCAACTTTCATCGTGTAATCTGGGCGTCCCAGGGAGCCGCAAAATTAGGCCCTCTGAAAATTTAACGTGTTTACGCGTAAAAACGTAAAAGCGAAAACGTAAACGTAAAACAAAAACCAAGCCTGCATTGCATCAGCAAGTGCTTGAATAACTGAAGTAGTTTTCGGCTGTGCAGGCTTCATCTGTTTTGCGTCCTGCACACAGCCCTTGCACCCGCATGACGATGTCCTTGATTTCAGCCTCCTCTGAGTTATGGTTCTTCGAATCATAAGATGTTATCCCAGGCAGGGTTTGCTCCCTGAACGTGGGCCAACTGTTCTCGAAGATTATTGTGCAACTCAGGTGAAGAGCTGGCTCCAACGAAAGAATGTTACGAAAAAAACCAACATTGTACAAGTTTATCAACGTCTTCGAAATTGAAACACGCTTGCATAATTGATCAATAAGAGATTGTAGGCGAAAATTCGCACTGGTACTGCCCACGCCTGCTCGTGTTGATGATGTCACTTTAGTCAAGACAAAGTACCAAAAAGAGTAAATTATCAGACCATGCGATTTCTGGAAGCACATCAGCACCTGTTTTCGGCGCCTTACGAAAATCTGATACTGTAAAGTACCCTGTTCCTTTATTGTAACAACAGAGTACTACATACCCATTTTGCGAGGCGTTTGTGCATCTGCTTATTCGCAGTTGTTGGATGTCTGTGTTGATCTTGAGCACTCACTTGTTGGTGTGCAGATGGTGCAACGTGTGGCTGAGCCTCCACGGGTGGTACGGAAAAATGAGGGGGGTCATCACCAAATGGCCCACAAGGTCGTTCACCCACAGGGAGCGATGGAAGACTCGATGGCCGCACTCGTGCCCTAGCACGAACAGCTGAAAGCAGGCACCAAAACGCCATAAGGAATTCAGCCGACCCCATGTCGCCAAAAGCGGTGTAGCTGCCGTTTCCTCACTCACAGAACTACTATCCCAGGCAATGACTTCATTCAGAGCTTGATCCCTGTCAATAGCGCGTAGGTCACTCTGCCCAATGGCATGATCGCAGTTGGCGGCCTACGAATCATGGCGGCCATCCAAGGCCCCTCTTGTTTACAGAATTTTCCATATACTGAATTACTAAGAGGCAATTTGGAATATTTAGAATTCACATATTCGTGCTGAACAATGTCGCGACCATTATATAACATAATGTGTTAGGAGCTGCAGCCCCAAGTTGAGTGTGGGTTGCAGAACCCTAAAGGTGCTTGTCTGGTGTTATTATTTCGTTTCTATCGCCTCAAACCGCTGACTCTTACAACGTCTCGTTCAATAAGTAATGTTCATGCAAGGCAACGATGCGCTCATCTCTGTTTAGAACGAATCTACTTTGAACAATTTATTCACATTAGACTAACATGATTTAAACAACGCACAAACCGGCGCATTTGACTGGTATGACTCATCACCACCAGCGAGAGGCAAGTAATTGGAGTTGCACTGTGCAGCTCATCGATTCGATCAGTGGAATTGAACATGAAGCATCCCACATTTGGGTAGGGCCACCCCTTCTCTCTCACCCCTGTGCATGCCGTCCCCGCCACGAACCACGAGACGGGCTTCAGATACCATGGCGAAATTGCCACCAGCGTCATCGACACGCAGATGGCGGCAACGGTGGTGAACAGTGCCCTCCACGCCTTCCCGTGATCAAGTTGGTACACCTTGCACGATGGGCAATAGACAGTCAGCCGTGCAATTTTTATACTCGATGAGCAGTACAATGCGTACATACGATACTTCGGTGAGATAACCACAGGAAAGTGATCATTCCGCAGTAGAGAAGCAGCACAATTAGCGCGCCGTCTGCCGCTGTCCGAGACCGATTCTGGTGGATCGCCAACAGCGTATTTGGTGTCGTCGTTTTCTACAAAATACAAACAAGGGCGTTTCCTGCACAATAGATCGTGAGGCAATGAGCTCTGTGCGGATCGGCAACAAGCATTGCACTGGCACAATAGCCACAAAAGAGCGGTTGGCCGCGCGCCATTTAGCTTGCTGAGTTTGGGCATTAGGGAAATGAAAGATGTGCCGTTTTCTGTGGGCAAAAAAGCGAAGCAGCGGATGCTGCGCTCCTTGATTGATTGGTTTACTTGTTCAATCATTTAAGCATTCAGGAATCGATTGATGTGCGATCTTTCAATGGAATACATTGCATCGAGTGCCGATACATCCAACACGAGACACTAACCAGAAGCAGTTTTGAGCACGTTTTCATCCCTTACGCTGGTGATGCTAATGCGATGTCGTTATGGAAGGGGGAACAGCGAGGTGGCAAGGAAAAAGCAATACAGTTGCTGGCGCCATGCGCACCGCCGTCGTACAAATCGGTACAAGCGCTTTTTCACGCACAATAATATATCTTTATGGCATCCATGCCTTGGGATTAATAGTCACAAAACAATAAGAAACAATAACAAAGCAATAAGAAAAACACGCAGTGTGCATGCTCACCTCCCTTGGGAACGTCCGAACAACGTCCCCCACAGTGACGTCATCCGGGACCCGTTTCCCTATCTTCGTGTACCCCATGCGCTCCGCCCACGCCGCCCTCTTGACGTCATCGTCCAGGTCATCGTACGTATATTTTCCCCGTTCCTTGCCACGCCGGTCCCTTCCTTGCTGTTCGAGTTTATCTACTTCAGGTTCCTGCACCAACATTTCGCGGACATCAACGATGGTAATATTATGTAATATTATACTCGTTTTACCGTTATCATATATAATACTATGTATGGTTGCTTACTCTTACGTTCATGTGCATTAGGCGTTTAGGCGCCTCCGACAGTTGGGTTTCATATTAGTAGTCAAGGGCAATGGCAAGCTTTCCATCAAACTGTTACACTACCGACTCATAGTATGTTAATTTATGCACATGGCAAATGTATACAACATTGACAATACAACATCTGGTACTTTGTTGGATTTCGCTCAACCGTTTTTCCTATAGGATGTTCAGTGCAATGCAGCTGCACGCCACGGCCAAGAAACTCGGGCCCGCCCACACACTTCGTTCCAAATGGACATTGGCTTCAGTTGCTGAATGCCATGTATCAGCTCTGAGTTGCAACATGCAATTGAAGATATTTTAAAGCGAATAATTCAATCTCATGTACGTCGATGCATAACGCCAACAATGTGGCGTTTTAAAATAGTACAAGAAATGTGGTGCAAAAAAAGACATGAATCCAGCTGCTCGACTCATTCACCCTGTTTTTTAAAGTTGGTAGAAGACCCTGTAATTTACAGTACTTGTTTGATGTGAGAATGTGAGAATTTGAGGAACCAACAGGGAGAAAAGAAAGTACTGCGCTTATCCTACCCGCTTGGGCCGTTGCCAAAAATAGGCAGTGTGCAACTTGTGTTTGCATGCTGCACATGCAATTAATGGATGCTGATCACCATTAACGGATGATTGTGACCTCCAAAATTGCGCAACAAATTTGGCACCTTAACAGAAACTGTATGGAATAGAAAGCACTGTGTGCCGCTTCGCTCAAACTTTGGTCCAATTATATCCAACTTTACCCACCCTAATGATAACAAATATTCAGAAATTTGGCAGCACCGAAACACGGATTTGAATTGCGCGATATGGCAAATTTCCAGTCCAGTCGCGCGGAGGCGCACCGTGCACCATTCCAGTACTGCAAGTGGTCGCCCCGAGCTTCTGAGTCACATGGAAGGAAGGAATCTACCGGGGCCCCTTTCTGGACCCTGATCTTCTTTCACAGCGCCCCTTGCACCATGGCGGCTTTCACTATGAGCTCATCGCGAAAAGCACTACTGTATATTTATGTCCGACAACCTGTCTGCAGCTGCTTGTCTTTGGACCACTTGATTGCGGTCGCTGCGCCGCAGCAGTTGAGGATGAAGACACGACGCATAGAAGGCCTTTCTGCGCAGCCTGGGACAGCAGTCTAAAAGTGGCTTTCCAGAAGACAAATTTTCTCTAAAGCGTGCCCTTGCAGACGCACTGGTCGGCGTCTCGCAGCGGGCAGACGCGCTCTCACCAAATGCCGATGATCCACCAGAGCCCGCCGCAACGCTCACTAGCGACTTCTTCAACATGGCGCCAACGGCCGCGACCTGCCCAGCATTTGTCGGCATCCGCAAAAGCAATCCGATTCGGCTCCGACACAGGGGGACAGGTCACCGCTTCGGTTGCAACAAGGGAATCATTACCTGTGTGGGGCGCGAGCGCTTCACTGCGCATGGCGAAGTCGAGTGCCGCCCATGGACCAATCGTCCCATGCCGATGGCGCATCGACACTAGTGCCCATGTCTAGTATCCATGTCGAGTACTCGACACCAGTGTCCATGTCGAGTGCTTGACCTCCCCCCCCACCCTGTGGGCGCAAGAGCGCGGAAAAGAGCACGAGTCCCCAAGACGGCCCCCGAACGCGGAACATCTTCGCCAACGTGCCAGCGCGCAACCCAGCCCCATCTGACCCGTCCAAATCGCACCTTCCCCATGCGAGTCCATCGCCCCCTGGGCGCCATTCACCGCAAATCGCACCCCCCCCACTCACCGCCGTGCGCAACACCCCCGCCGCGGCCGCCGCCCGCCCACGGACACCCCAACCATCAGGCCTCCTGCCCCTCAGCCGCTCCACCCGATTCGCCCTCCCGCCAGCCGCCCCGGTCACTGCCAAGCCACGTCCGGCCAACTGCGCTCCACTGGCGCTGGCAATTTGCAGCCGCGATGGCGCGCGTCTCATGTCGATTCCGCGGGAAGCGACTTGAATTGTTCTGCCTTCAGGAGAGCAAGCTTGCTTTCCTCAACATGCACCGCTGGTGGGCAATTCGGGCGGTGGTTGGGTGGTTCCAGTGTCCTGCGCTCCAAAGGTAGCTACGGAAACCCCTCAGGTGGAGCCGTGGGCGCAATGGGGGAGGCGGGCCCGGGGCGACGCTCCCGAGGAGGCGTGCGCAGGGATCTAAATTTTCACGGCGGGTGACGGGACGGGCACGCGCCGCCCAAGTGGCAGGAAACCGCAGTGGATTTGGGGCTCGTGCCCCGCTTGGTGCGCCGCGGTGCGGATCCGCACAACCATGGGCTCGATCAGTTCGGCCCCGGGCCCGGGTGTCCATGCGGTACAATGCGACGCTTGATGGGTTGGTTGGCTTCTGTTCGTGGCTGGTTTCAGTCCAGTCCTTCCTGTGGAATTCCTCCCCACTGAGGGACGCCTCGTGAGCGTGCCGATCGAAAGGCTGCGCCGGAATGCTGCAGGAAAGAAGTCGCGATTGACGCTTCCTGGATGTTTCCGTTCGGTGGGATCCTGTCCAAACTGGCCAACTGTACCGAGAGCTGCCCAATCAATGTTCCATCCCACAATGCCCGTGGCCATCAAACTGAGCGTGCCCCTAGGGGCGAAGCCAGGCCTGACTTCGCGATGCCACCCAAATTAATAATCCCCAATACGTCATCCTTCGCGTAATCAGCAGATACCAAACGCACTCTCCAGAATGGGGCGGTGGGGAGGAAACAAAGTCGCTGGCGGGTTTGGGGGCAGCCCCCCGACCGTTAAATGTCCGCCAAGGCGCACATTACAGCGCCAGCCTGGGCACCTTTGAAACACTAGTGTACTTGTGTCCAAGTGCCTGTGGTGTACTTGTGCCTAAGTACTTGTAATTGTACTTGTGAGCAAGTGCTTGCCAAGATTCCGCAGATCGCCTGGCCCGTGGTCAATCGCAGCCTGTGAACCAACGGATTCACACTGCACAGGCGACCGGTTTCCGCAAACAGCTTGATCCTGTCCACCTGGACTCTGCAGAGAGCCTTGCGCATCCCAGGCGCCCACCCACGTCCCCTTATTCGAAACCTCACCAACTGATGAGTAATCTTGTATCCATTCAAGGGACGCTTTCTTCGCTCTCCTGGCTGAATTGGGACATGACGTCGTTCATGGTGGTCCCCGTGTTTGCGAATGAAACGCCGCTGCAGTGCACATACTCATCGAACGATAGCTCGAACGCTGTGTTCGCCGCTGTCTGTGCACAGAATATATTAGTCGCTCTGTCTTTTCCGTGTGGATCTCTTCTTCTTCCGCTGACAAGGCCAACGCCGGTCAGTGGTTCAGTGGTTTGGGATTTATGGCGCCCGGAAACAGTACGGGACCCACACGAAAAGACAGAGCGACTAATCTCATGCCGTTCTTGCAGTGTCGTGCATCGCTTCTGGCCGGTCGTTATTCAGATCCTGCCTTGCTTCTCCTTGGCGCAATGGATCATCAAATGTCCGGTTTCCGGAGGGGCTTGCCAAGACTATGCAGAAGAAACAAGAAACCATGAGGTACATTCTGTCAGGGGCTCCGAGGCGCCGTGTGAGGCGCTGGCGGTGACCCGATGCAGCTGACGAACACCAGAATTGTGTGGACGCCAGGGAGTAAGTGGGGCTCGACAGTGCTTCGGCGCGCCTGGCGTTTGCCGTAGACGACACGGCGCTTGGGGAACGCACCCCAGGTCTGGCTGCAACGAATTTATTGAGCCTGTGAAGTGGCTTGAAACCCGCAACGCTGCCGCGCGTTTACAGATCCGCGGTGCGAGCAATCAGGTGCTCGGACAAGTGGGTGCTTTCGTGTGTGCAGCCCGAATCAGGCCTCATACCGTTGTGGCGTCTGTGCTTCGACCCGTGAACGGCGCTCGGCTTGGCTACAACTGCTCCCTTGGGCACGAGGGCCCCTGGCCTTTGGACGCCAGGGCGCCACCCTGCCGCTGATTCGACTGTCGACTCGCCCGCGGATGCCGCGAAATCTTATTGGGCGGCGTTTGATCAAGCGGCCCCATCCAATCGGCCACCACCCACGAGCTTTTCTTGGGGTTTGAGCCCCGAGCAGCCGGCTGGAGGTGTGCGGACCCCATTTATATGCATGAGCGCACATCCGGGCAAGCGGACATGCGGACATCCCCAGGATGGCCTCGCGCCAAGGACACGCCGTAAACATCAGTCTCCCGGGTGGGCTCGGCAGAGGCGCAAACGCACCCTGCCGTCGGCCCCACTCATTGCCTGCGCCTCCAAACCTTGCACCGCCCCGCTCCTCGCGCCGTCCCGGGCGCCAAAGCCAGTGCTCCCTTCAGGCCCGACCGGCTCCCGGCCGCGCCCTCGATCACGCGAAGGGCCCTGCCACCCAAAGTACTGCGGAGCGGCGGCCCCGTGCAACAAAGTACTGCTGAACGCCCTGCGCGCCAGGGGACCCCGACCCCAATCACGTAGCCCGCCCAGTACTTTGCGCCGCCCTGGGCTCCTGGGCCCAGGCGGCCATTTAGGGCGCCCTCAATCAGCTCATGTGCTGCGGCACGCCGTGGAACCGCCCTCCCCCCGCCGTCCGACTCCTTGCGCTCGACCTTCGCGCACAGCACGCCCGGCGCTCGCCGCTCCCCGCCCGCCCGCTGCAGCGCCCTGCGCGCCATGATCGCCGACGAGGCCCCATCCCGGCCTGATTGCGGCCTGGCCGGAAAACCCGCCGGCAGGCGCCGAATGCCCAGAGAGCCCTTGACCGGAGGAGGCGACGATGATGGCCTCCTGGCGGCGAGGGGCGGGCCGGAGGATCCGACCGGAGCGAATTCCGGTTCGGCGGTCGGGTCTGGAAGCGGTGGAGAGAATGGAGAAAGGTGGGGTGGGGTGTATGTGGAGGGCATGAATTGCGGGAGTGTTGAACCTCATGGGGGCCAACAGGGTGGCCAGGCTGCACGGGGCAGCTCCGTGGAAGATTTCGGTATCAAAATTGCCGCAGGAGGAGACGGGGGGGATCACGAGGAACTTGCGGAAGCCGTATTGGGCGCGTGCTCCAGTGGGGTTGCGGGGATCAGGAGGACGTATTTGGGGGCCGCGTGCCGGCGCGCTGGGCAGCGGCCGGAGGGGGTGATGCTTGACGGGTGGGCGGGGGCCGGCTTTGCAATTGTGTGAAATGGCAGGGATCGTGGGGAAGGGCGGTGTGGCCGCGGGTGGCGTGAAGGCCGTTGCCGCGGAGTCTGCAGCACGCATTGCGCGGGAATGAAAGGCGTCATGCCACTCAATGCCCTGGTTGGGCGGCGAGGCGGTTTCGTTGGTTGAAGAGAGGGATTGCGCGCGTGGCGTTAGTTTGCCGTCACGGCGCGTTACTGCGTCGGCTGTTTGCTCTGTGCCTGGTTTGTTTCGAATGGCATCGAATGGCATGAGCATTTCGCATTGGCTCTCAATGCCATTGGCATGTACTGAGGCATCCCCCGTCGGGGATGCTCTCTGAATGTCGAACTGACATTGCTGGAGCTGCTGGCTGCCACAGGGTCTCTGCCGTGGAGGGTGAACCTCGGCTTGAAGCAAGGGATCGGAAGTGTGACGAAATGAGGGATCGTGAAGAGGCACCGAGAACAGTCGTGGAAGGACACGCGAAGACCGATGGTAGTCACGCAAGAACGCAAGCGACTGCGCCCGCTGGAGCTGTGGAAGATGCTGGGCACACCGCAAAGACGTGTGAAAAAGAAAATGAGGGTGATGCCAAATGTGTGGAAAGGGAGCCCAGTGTGCAAGCACCCTTGCAGGTACACAGCGAGACTCAAGACAGCCCGTGCTTGGATTCCAGGCCTGACAGTTCAGCAGGGCATACCAGGGCATCCGGCCCAAGATGGGGTGACATGTCAATGACCGATGACGAAGATGAGGATGGTTTGACGGATGCCTCAGCCTTGGGCTCTCTTGAAGAGCCTGTCAGACCTGCTGGGAGCATGGTGAACGCCCAGAGAAGCGCACAGAGGGGTGGCCCCAAACGGGAGCCTGACTCATTGCGGCAGGCTCAGCCAAGCCACAGGATAGTGGAATCCCGGCCCAACGTTATAGAGGCAGTGATATGGCCAGGGTCAAGACGTTGGCCAAAGGCACAGAGCGGGGGCCAGCAGGACAAGGGTGCCGCAAAGGGCGGCTCGGCCAACGTGTGCAAACCGGGGAGCGAAAAGGGATTCCCCTTGAGATCAAGGGGGGGTGCTGATTACAAGTCTGAGGTGGTGGATAGCAGGCGTGGCAGCGTCTCTGGTTGGCAGGAGGGCAGGCCAGGCAGGCACAGGAGGAGTGTATCAGCAGATCAGGGTCTCTTTCAGCATTCCTCAAGGGGAAGGTCGTCCACACCAGGTGGACATGAAGGACCGGGGCGCAATCGCGACGATCGTCAATCGCGTGCAGACTCAAGGAGTGCTGAAAGGCTCCTCTCTAGTGTCACCAGTGTCAGTGACAGCAAGGGCAGAACGTGGGTGTGTGTCAATGGCACCGCATCCAAGAGCGGGGCTAACAGCCCCATGTCAAGGCAGGCAAGGAAAAGCGACGAGGGCGGTCGCGCGGAGCAGGGTAGTGGCCAGGTGTTTGGCCAGCGTGGCTGCAGTTCTGACAGGGGCCATCATAGGTCCACGGCCACAGGCGATGTGACTGGGCAAGGCAGACAGGCTGGAGGCTGTCCTGGACACAGGAGAACGGGGTCCTCAGGCTCGGCCAGCAGTTGGCTTGGGCGATCCCATGAAGACAGCTGGCAGGGTGGCCACAGCCACTGGGATGACAGCCATGGAAATTCACTGAGCAAATTCATGGGGAAGATGAGGATGGACAGAATGCCTGAGCGCGGCTCGCTCAGCCAGCGCAGCGACGATCGCGGCTCCATCCGGCTGAGGAGGCAGAGGGGGTCGGAGTGGGGAAGGGCGGGTCCTGAGCGGGCCCCGTCCAGCCAGTCTGTTCATTCAGTGGTGAGGCCTGGGAGCAGCCAGAGCTCAAGGACTGGTAGGTGGAGCCCCCCGAGTGTGGGGCCCCCAAGGAGCAGTGGACGGGGCTGGGCGAAGCAGAGGCCGTTCGACTCCAACAGGGGATCAAGCAGCCAGAGGGACAGCCAGGACAGCCACCGGGGCGGGTGGCCATCTCTGGCATCTCAGGGCTGCACTGAGAGTGCTGGGAGTGCTCAGCCGCGGGAGGATCAGCGGCCACCGACCTTCACACAGGGCGGGAGGCCCAGGCACAGGAGGCACTACAGCGAGGGTGCGGAGGTGACGCTGGTGTTTGGCACCATGTCCCAGAGGGAGCACGACCCTGCCAGGCCGACGACACTGAGGAGAGTGGCACCAGAATTCCATCCATTCAAATCGCCGCAGCCAGAGGATGTCGGCGTGTTGAACCCGGATGCAAAGCCGTTTGTGCCTCTTCAGGGTGATGCCAAGTGATCGAGGAGGGCACAACAACAGCCAGCCTTAAGGAGGGGCACCTCCCCATGGCTTGGCCCATCCTGAGCCGGCAGGGACTGATTGAAGTTAATTTTTGATTTTGTTTGTTGCGAATTTGGCCAAATGTTGCTGGAGGGAGTGTCTGAATGTCTGCTGCTTCAGGGACGCTCAGGTGTTGCTGCTTGGCATGCCCTATAGTGAGTGGGTATTTTTTTGAGGTGGCAGGAAGCCATCAGCCACCATATGCAGCCACCGCCACCAATATTCTGGAGTCGTTTTGGCTCGGTTCCTGCTGCGTGCACCGTTGGACTTGGCAGACTGTCTGGTAGACTGCATAACCAAGGATCATGATATGTGCTCTCTCAGCACAAACTGCCAAGCTTGCCATTGCGTTGTGGAAGTTAGCTTTCTGGCATGCCTTGTATTTGGGTTGCTTTCTGGGACCATTTGCTGCTGTACTTTAGGGTGTAAGGGTGCATGCAGGGTGCATGCAGGGTGCAAGCAGACGATGAGTCTGCTGTGTACGCTATTTTCTCTACAAACACATGCCACAGTTGTCTGCATCTCTCAATGACATGTAAATCCTGTTAGTCTGCTCCAATCGTCGTAATGTCAAACTGCTTTGTTTCCGTGGAGCTGTTCCGTTTTGTGACCTGCGTGTGCTTCGACACAACCTCTGCGACTGTGCACAGCAATCGATATATATATATATATATATATATCCCACCTTGTTTGGTCTTTGCTGATGAATTTCGGCAAACAGGCAAATCGCGTCATCTCTTTACGTTCGAGTCAACTGCTGTGTGCACGGAGGGGATCGTTCGTTCCGGAGGTGGCGTCTGTCACAGCTCCACACAGCAAACAGCAAACAGCAAAAGCAAACACAGCTCACACAGCAAACGCAACCTTTCCCCTGAATGGCGATGACAGGGCCAGGAACATCCTATTCGGTACAATGCTGGGTCGTCCTCACGTGGATCTTCACAGTTCAATCCTATGCTGAGCCTATTTAATGGTCCTGAGCCAAACCTAAAGCCGATTTTTGGTGGAACAGAAACAGCAACACAGCAAATTTCGCAGCGGCGCCCCCATACTTTGTGTGCACAGTTCATGGACGGTGCACAGCTGCATAGATAGATGTGTGTACGTCTGCACGCGCGATGCTGGTGCTCCGTGCCGCCAGGCTTGTTTTTTACGCCGGAAAAACTGATCGTATTTAGGTTTTTACGTGCAAAACAGATTTCACGTTTTTACGCATAAAATGCGTTAAAATACGTAAATGCAACGTTAAAACTGCCCGGTGTACATAAGGACAGTACATACACATTTACAGAGTCCGGAGAGTGGCAGCCAGACGCCCTGGAAGGGACAGAAAACAAGTTCATTTTAAATCCAATTATCGCCCTTGCCAAGGGCGAGGTGGACATTGTGTTGCGGGTGCTGGAGATGTCGCAAGACTGATCATTGTACGCAACTTTCACCGTGTAACCTGGGTGTCCCAGGGAGCCGTAAAAACGCAAAAATAGCCGTAAAAATAGGTCTTTTTGCAAATTTACGGTTTTTGCGTGTAAAAACGTAAAAGCAATAAAGTAAACGTAAAAACCAAGTCTGCGTTGCACACAGAGAATTCTTAAATTCACAGTTCCTAGCGATCCTGCGAAGAGCAATGTGCTTTGCTTGAGCATGCAATGTAGCACACGGGGAAAAGAAAGCGCTTTCTGCCAGCCCACTGGTCCATGCCGTTTGGCGCGACGCGCTTGGGCCAATGCATAAAAAACGTTATGTGACGGTAAGATCCCAATTGCGCATACGGCACATGGTAACATACGATACAGCAATGTAACTTCTACGCGAAATAATGTTACAAATGAATAAACATAAGTATTGCTCCGTTCCCTCATTTGTAGCATAATTCTTGCCAAGGACAAGGAATCTTTGGGCCAGGACGTCCTGTCGACAGGGAGTATAAAATAGAAGAGGTTTGGGTCACGAGACATTCAACACGTGCAGCTCAGGCCACACGCATCACTATGCGAGCCCGCCTGCCTTTGAAAGCGTGGCCGGCGTGAAGCTGGAGGGATGAGCCGACCGACGCGTTGCAAAGGGTGGCAAAGCAATTAAGAAGCTGCTTCCGATCGTTGTATGTGTTTGCCATGTACACGGCCAATCTGGATGGCAGCGCCATTCCCTCCGCTGGGTGTGTGGGGACGTTGACCAACGCAATTCCATGACATTCACAGAGTCGGTTTCCGAGTTGCGCGCATCTTTTTCTTTCTACTCTTCTATTGGTTGTCTTGTATTTCCATTTCGGCCCAGTTTTCCACCCTCATGTTGTTTTGTACTCCACTTTCCTGTGCCTGCTCTCTCCTTTATTCTGTTTCCGTTACCTGTCCTATCAACCTGTTGCCATATATTGCCTGCTCTGTTGCCAGTTTGGTACAAGAACATTACACTGGGATCGACAGACAGACCGCAACCAAAGATAAAGATATGGAAAAGCAAAGAAATGGCTATTTCACAATGAACCAAGATTGCATGTACTTAAAATGAGAACAACGCAAACTGTGACTACAATGTTTGGGGCACCGACCGCAGAGTACAACAAATTGCCTTGCATTATCATGCAGTTTTTCTATATTTGTTCAAGCAACACGACGGCCCTGTGCCTGTATGTAAGGGGCCTTGCATTACCCTTCTGCTGGTTGGCGTACTGTTCTACCTCTTGATGGGTGTCAGGGTGGCATGCTTGGGGACTCTGGTAGCACCATCATTGTCGCGATTCCAAGGTTGAAGCTAGAGATGGTGCCAACACAAGGTTGCGTATAGGTGCGTCGGCGGAGCCAAGGATGCAAAGAGCCACATCTTGCAGTTGTGGTGTTTAAAATGCGCATCTAGGCGCTCTTCGGTCCAAAGCTCGCATAAGGCAAGGATGATGCGAGCTCTGGGCAGCCGAATATTTTGCATTCACAGCAGCCATCTGTAGAAAGGACCCAAGGCGGCAGGAACTGGGGTGGCTCCAGCCTTTTGCAATCATCTTGTCTTCCTGTGCGACAATTTTCTGTCACCAACTGCGACTGGAGACACGCACCCGCGTCAGATTGCGGCCATGCATCACCAAGTTGTTGCTTGAAGAAAAGTTGCTACATCATATGGTGTACCCCAGGGCATGTTTTGTCGCAGCCGGATCAGCTCACAGCAATGGCTGCCAAGGAAAGCTTTCGTTCGGTCGGAACATTTCCTGAGAGCCAAGATTGGGAAAGGTTAATAGGGATCCGAACTTTCGATGTTGACTGTGGTGGTGCGGTGTTCTTGGGCACCTTTGCTTCTTGAATGCATGACGTCATCAAGAAAGCCCATGAGGTACATAGAATTGGGCTGAAACGTGGATGCATTCGTTGGGCATTGGTGCTACGGCGAATAAGAGGCTCACATCGCCCAGTCTCCGGAAAGGCAGCTGCCGTAGTGTCTTCAACCCTTCTGCATAGCAACGTAATGCTTGGCCTTTGTTGGAGGAGCATCCAAATGACTAACGATATTTCATCCAAACTTTGGGGAACAACGCAGACAAAATAATAATAGGGCCCTGGGAAAGGTGCTTTGCAAAAAGCGCAATGGTAAATTGTTCGATGCGGAAGGGTTGAATATACCGCGTTATTTGCAGCTGGTGCTATTAAATGTTTCCTAAATCGGCAATGCATAGTCGGCATGGCCTACGATACTGTCAGGGTGTCCATGGTGGAAACTAGAGGTCGGCCCTACCGTCCGTTAAATAAGCGCAAATGGTCGCAAATCGGGGAGCGGCTGGGGAACATGCTTAAAACCGTTAAAGTACAAACCAAAGACAAAATCAAAGAAAATCGCAAAACACCCCAAATATGTGCAAGAAAAAGACAAAATTACAAAGTACAAAGTAGAAGTACGAGAAGCAAGGAAAAATGGTAACAAGCGCCAAAATCTCACGATTAACGAGAAAACCGGTGAGAAAGGTAAATACGGGAAATCGAAGATACGGTACGGTATTTAACGGACGGTAGCAGGTGGCCAGCGCCGATCTGTAGTTGAAACGCGAGGCGGCCCAACACTGGTCCCTAGATCGAAGAGCGTTGGGAAGGATAGCATATTGATGTGTTGTAATGTTACTGCGGCAGCCGCAATCCCTTTAGCAATCTTATCTTTTGCAACACACTGAGTACCGAAGAGCAGCTTCGCGATACGAGTGCAGTTTTAATTGGATTCCATTGGGAAGTGTCAAGGCTACGAGGATCTCACAGGAGGGCTGTCTTTGGGAAGATCTCGATCAGCACAATGTCTCACCCATTAATCTGCCTAACGATCTGGACTGTTAGTGTGTGGTATGATCGGAGCATGCTGCCAATTTAAATTAGGTTTTGCGGATGATATCGATATGGTGGACCTAATAAGGGAGATGCCAAAAGCAGTAGCAGCTACAAGATGGCACAAAGTCTCAAAAACCTGCTGGATGAGATGGGCGGCTTGAGGGCAACACAGTCGCTTTGTGATCGCGATGATCACGGCCACACGAAGAGGCTGCAGATTTGACAGTGGCGAGCTGCGGCCAGACTGGTTCAACTGAATGATAGGCCACCCCAAACTGCATGATTACGCTCTGATTGCTGCTGTTTGATGTGTGGCGAAGCGCTGCTCATTCACAGCCAGTACTTGCTTTTCACCACACTTGCTGCTCATTTCCTGGATGAGCTAAGTGGTGACTAAGTGGTGGATTTTCGGGTTGTGATCAAAAGCATTGATTGGTAGTATGTATCTTGTATTGAACCATTTCAATGGCACAAATACGCCTGCATCCCACGTAGATTTGCGGGAATTGAAGCTGTTGCCTTCTTGATGTACAATTCCTGTACCAGGTTTCTGTTGTTGTTGCTGGCTTGGCAAAGCATGCGTAGCCATGGCAAGCAGCTTGCGGAGGAGGCGATTTTGTCATTACTGGCTGGAAAGAATGAGGCTTCCAACCTCATCAGAAA